TCTGATTAAAATTTGAAATATTATTTTTGAAAAAAAAAAACTTTTCCTTTGTAGTATTTTCATTTAAAAAATTGATTATATTATTTTCTGTTAATAATAAATTTTTTTAATTGAATTTTAAAATAAAAAGAGTTTGGTTATGAGTGTTGATCAGAATTTTCAATAGTGTGAAAGTAGTGTGTTTTGTTATGAGTTATAACAATTTGAATTAAGTTTTGAAAACTCTTTCCAAAACTCATAACCAAACAAATTTTCTTACTTCACATGTCAAATCAAACTTTCAAAACTCAATTTCACACTCAATTCAAAACTCAATTCAATTCACTATTCAAAAACCATAACCAAACAAATTTTCTATACTCAAATCATAATTCCATAACTTACAAACTCAAAATACAACTCATACTCTCAAATCATATTTACAAAACTCTACCAAACACAACCTTAAATTTTTAAGTGATATCAATTGTGATTATTAAACGGATTTAATTGGATATCACGTAATACATTCAATTTTAAGTGCTCCATCAAATTATCACATAGTCTTACTAAAAACATATATATCCAAATATCATTGGATGTTTAAATAACATTATTTTTTTAACAATTAATCATATTTAATCTCTTATATTTTTAATAAGATTGTTAGTGTACCTACAATTAGTCATATATTAATACCAAAAACAAATTCATAATTTCATATTTAAAATAAAAAAAATCTAAAGTTAATAATGCTACCAAATATATGTTAAGTATAAAAGTCAATACAAAAGTTAACAAAATTATGAATGTAACAAACAACACAACTAACTAGGTGGGTTCATTCCAACTCTTTCAAAAAAAAAAAAAATGCCCCTTGTACTACACATACATTTTTGGAGTGGTGATTCATCTCACTGATTTTTAGACCACTAATAGCTCTAATAAGCTTAAAAAAAAATTAAAAAAAACAAACTCAAGCCAAAACATCACATCACTTTGGTGGGAGCCACTGTGCCACATCATTAGTGATGCTCTAGAGCTCCTAATTTAGTGATCTAAAACATTATTCTACATTTTTGCTTTTGCGGTCTGGCACTCAATGAAGCTTGTTGTCAATCAATTTTGATTTAAAGTTGGACCAACTCGTTGACTAGACCCTCCAAGTCTCTCCAAGAGCTCCCACTCTCGTTAACTGCTTCCACTGCCTTGTCTTGCAGTTCCTTTGCTCTCACCTTCTGGACACTTGTGTCTCCACTCATTGAATTAGCAATGGTCTGAGCCAACTCAGTTGAGTCAGGGACCGCATCGGCACCCTCGCACACACGGACCCCAGCTCCTACGTCCTCCACCAACAGCCTTGCGTTCACAAATTGGTCTGCTTCCATGGGCCACGCCAATATCATCACCCCAGCCATAATTCCCTCCAACACCGAGTTCCACCCGCAGTGACTCAAAAACCCACTCACCGCTCGGTGACTCAGTATCGACATCTGTGGAGCCCACCCCTTTATCACCATACCCCTACCCAACACCCGATCCTCAAATCCATCGGGTACAAACCCGTACCCGTCCTCTACTTGTTGGGCTGTTACTGACTTGACCACCCAAACGAATCGGATCTTGCTATGCTCAAGCCCAGCAGCCAAGGCTTCCATTTGGTCCCTCTTCAGCAACTTCTGACTCCCGAAGCAAACATACAAAACTGACCCATCCGGGCACCCATCGAGCCAAGCCAACACCCTGTCTCCTGAATCCTTATCCGGGTTGATCCGACCCATGGTTTCAGCCCCGGCAAACAAACTAAGAGGCCCAACTACCCACATCCGTTGATGTCCCATTTTGTTCTTCAAGTGATCCAAATACTGACCTTCCAAGGCATCAAGAGAATTAAAAACACAGCCCCAACTGGTTATATTAGCGAGCATGCTATCCTTAAGAAACTCCCCATCAGGATCCGATTCCCTATATGCCCGGTATATAGAAGGAAGATGATCGGCAGCAAAACTCGGCGATCTTGGTAGATCGGGAAAATGAACGACGGGTAAAGAGCGGACAGTGTCAATATTTTGCCAAAGGAAATTAGTGACACAGATTAAAAAAGAGGCAATTGAGTGAAAAACGATCCTGGGGATACCAAGTTGGTGGGCAAGGTGGAGGGTCCAACCAAGGAAGAAATCAGAGAGGATAGCCACAGGGGGTGATGGGTGGGACTTGAACCAGTGGATTATTGGATCGTGAAGCTTGCCGAGGGCGTTGATCATGGGTAAGTTGCCTGCGTTGCCGATGTCCTTGATGTTCTCGACGCCAGAGGGGAGAGACGGGTGGGATGGGAAGGGAAGGACCAGGGTCTGGATTGAAGATGGGTGGTGGGTTGAGAGGAGGGGGTTCAGGATTGGGAGGTTCTTTGGTGTCACCAGAATGGTTATGGTGATGCCACGGAGGGCTAGTTGGTGGGCTAGGTCCAGCATGGGTAACATGTGGCCTTGAGCTGGGTATGGAAATATCAGGATATGAACACCTTTGATGGAGTTCGACATGGTTTTTTGGTTTTTCTTTCTTGAGAGAGAGAGAGAGGGAGAGAGAGAGAGTTGGTAAGGATCAGCAGTTTGCAGTGTGATTTGGTTTTAAAAAGTTAAAAAATTAAAAGGATAATTTTTATTTAAGTTTTCAAAATATTTATAAATATAAACAGAAAACTAAAAACGTAAGTGTTACCAAACGACACCTTAGGGCCTGTTTGATAACGTTTACATTTTCAATTTATATTTACAAAAATTTTATAAACTGGCTTTTGTTTATTTTTTGTTTATTTTTAGGAAAACATAAACTACAAACGC